TCCCCCCTTTTTGCTTCCCCTTCATACTGTCCCAGAACAGCAGCCTGCCTGTGTCCCTACTGTGTGCTGCTGGACATGGCCGTTAGGTCAGCAGGACGTTAGGTCAGCAGTGTTCTCCACGCAGCGTGGGTGCCTGTGTGTGTCTGAGGAGACATGTTTCCTTAAGGTACAGCTGTCCTGCACAGGTGGAGGCGGGCAGCAGGTAGGGTCCAACGAGGGTGGGAACAAGGGTGGTGTAAAGTGCGAGCCACAGCCAGCACCACAGTCCTCTGGTCTTTCTGTTCCGACGCCGGTGATCTGGGCTCCTTTGCGGACTGGAAGCCGGCCTGCCATCTTCTGAGCCGCTGAGGAGGTGAGTGGTGTATACGCCTCAGAGTGGACTGTGTTTTCCAGTGTCCCCACTCCCCACCTCCGCTTGTGGAGGAACTGCTCTGAGGTTAGCGGGGCGGCTGGGCCATCCTCACGCCTGTCCCCCTCCTTCTCATGACGCACGCGCATGTGGAAATCAGTGCATCATGAGCACCTTCCCACTAGCACCGTATGTGAAAGGCGGTTGCTGTTTGGATTGAAAGGAAAGTTCATCCAACCAGGACAGAGGGTCAGAGGGGTGCTCTGGAATATGTTAAAACCGCTTACTAGAGAACATTTCATCCTAAGTCAAGAACCTTCTCAAAGAAAATGCAGGGGCTCTGCATCGCTCTCCTTGGCAAATGAACCTCTTTGCATTTTTTGCTCTGACATTTCCGTCAAGTGCTCTGTGTGTTCCACCAAAGCCAGAGGTCTTTGGACACAGCGGGGAAAGGAGCAAGGGTCTGGAGAGGAGTCCGAGGCAGGGCAGTTTGGAGACTGCAGGGCAGCTGGGGAGGAGAGAGGGCCCAGGTGTGGCCGGCACAGCTCCTTTGGACATGGCGATCTGTGCACGTGGGCGTCTGGACCAAGATGGGGGCGGAACGTGCGCCTGGGTCGGCGGTCGGGGCCACAGGAGCTCAGGGCTCATTTGGGGGACAAACTGAAACTGTTGACGCGGAACTGTCTTCCTCCTGGGAACATTTCCTCCCAAGGTACCAATCGGGGCCAGGCAACCCACTACTATCGTTCCAAAGCTAAGAACGTGACTCAGAGGCAAAAAGCACAAAAACCCACTTATGCTCAGAAATGCTGCCTCTCTCTGGAAGAAAAGGCAGGAGGATAAATACACAGACAGGCTTTACCTGAAGGTCGCATGTGAGCCAGGGGAGCTGCCAGAGTGCCATGTGAGCATCTGTGCAAGGTGACGCGTGCAGGAGTGAAACCAGAGCACGGGTTGGAAGTCACACGTGCTGGGAAAGAAGGGTCACAGGTGCAGGATTCAACTGCCGTAAGAGTTTTCCGCAGTAGCTGAGCCACAGTTTATTGTTATGGTGGAGGAGGCTTTTGATTAGATTTTAAATCCTGGCTCTTCATTTCTTCAGCTGTATGACTTGGGGGCAAATTAGCCTTTCTAAATGTCAGCTTTTCACCTTTAAATGTCATCAGCCTCCCGAGGTGGTTGTGAGCATTCCGTGAACTGAGAGAGACCGAGTGCTTAACCCAGCGTCTGGCCTGTAGCACGTGCATGGTCAAAATTAACTCCTGTTATTATCACGTGAGTCTTCAAGCCGTAAGAAAACCTACTAGTTCTTTCCAAATTTTCATTGGGTGGTAATGTCAGTTTACTCAAAGAAAGAGATTTTCTGTACTAGCCCAAAGAAATGAGAAATATTGGCAAAAATGTGTCCACAGAGCTGCAGGCAGCCTTTCTGACACCTAAGAGGGAATATCATCTAATGTGTTTTTTTGGACGCCTGCCCTGTGTCAAGCCCTCTGGGGGCTGCGTCACTCACAGCAGTCCTATGACATAGCCGTCATCATCCCACTGTCACCGACAAGGAAACCGAGGCCCGAGGGGAGGAAAGAACGTGGTGGGGCTTATGTTCTCTGGTGGCAGAGCCGGGATCCCAGCGTCAAAGGCTGGACTCTGAGTCCAACTCACAAAACTATGAATGTCGAAGGAAGAGAAACTTCCCGGGCCAAGTCTGGCCACGCTACAATCTGAGTTAACAGCCACGTTGCTATTTTGATGCTCCTATTAGAACCTTATCCTCCAGCGGAGAGGCCTGGCACTGGGAAAATGTCACCCCTGGGTGGGCACCCAAGTCAGGTGATAGATAAAGGACACCGAGGGTTCTGGAGCCTTCCTCTGCCCAGGGAAGGGGCTGGCTGGGCCATTCGGAGCTAACAAGGAAACAGTGCTGTGTTTAGCCGGCAACCGGGGCTTCTTCAGCATCGTGGGCAGTTATTTCGGAGAAAGAGTGCATTTAAAAACGTATGCCTGATTACTGAGCATCTTTAGAAATATCCGAGAAGGTCTGGCTGTCGGGGAAAGCTGCTTAGGCAGCGAGATTTCTGTAATGCCAGGCAGTGACGGAGCCTACCTCCTAGGGATGAGGCACAGGTGTTTTCTGTCTTCGCTGGTTGCTTCTGAACATTCTGTCCCTTGCACATGTTTAGTGAGATAAGCGTGCCTTTATGGGCACAAGGATGCAAATCCTTTACAAAGTCTTTGTAAGTGCATCTCGGAAGGACCGTTCCTTAAAGCAGTTTCTTGGGAGGTACGAGGTGCCTTATTTCACCCAGAGTGCTCACTCCTACAGCTCTCTTTCACCTGAGCAGCGGGAGGGCATGCGGCCTGATGTGCTTGGGGGCCCAGGTTCCCCTTCACTGGCTCTGTGACCTTAATGACTTCCCTTGACCTCCCTGAGCCTGTTTCCTCATCTGTAGAATGGAGAGGAGCATGCTGTCTTTCTAGGGAGTGTGAAGTGGCTTAACCTAAGGGCGAGGGCTTCGTCCACTGCACGAGGCCACCTAAAAAGACCCATGGCTGTCCCTGTTCTTTACATCGGGGATTGCCAGCATCTGGTGTTTATTCGAGAGGAGCTGTGATGAGTTAATAGGACACCTGAACATCGGGAATAAAGTCGTAGCGAGGTGCCAGGCCTTGGGTGAGGAACAGATGTGTCATTGGTAATTCAGCAAAGTGGGGCACGGAGCATCACGATCATGGGGGGAGCTCCTGGAGAAAGGACTTCCTGGGAGACGTGGCCACGCCTGTTCAGGGCATGGGGCCGTGTGTGCAGTCGGGGCGTAGGCCGAATAGGGGGGTCAGCAGAGCTGTCCTCTGACCTGCCACTGCCTAACCGGCCAGTGCTTTAATCTCTGTGCAGAAGGTGAAGGTGAGGACACCTGCCTCCCAGGTTTAGGGAGATTAAGTGAGACGACAGATAGAAAGAACACCTGCACATAGGAGGGCACCACGGCTAGAAAACACGTTTTCTCCTCTTCTTCTTCCTCTGCCTTCTCCCTTTTTCCTGTCGTACAGAAGCTCTCACTAGACAAGCCACTAACATTATTACTGGAAGCTCCCACGCTCCTCCGAGTATTCTGTCAAGGTCTGAAAGCAACCCCTGGGGTCTCTCACTCATTTCCTGGGGTTACTCAGGATGCAGCTCGAACTTGGCAATGGGTCTGAGTACAATTATTGTCAGGTGCGGAGAAAGGGTTCCATCCGTGGGAAGAGGGGCTCTGAGTGGGGCCAGGAGGCACCCGCGCCGAGCAGAGCGTTTACCAGAGTGAGACTCCGGACCGATGCAGAGGTTAAGGGCCCGTGGGGGGAGCGAGCAAAGCCGTCACCAGCTGAGCCACTTGGGTAAGGAGCTCTTACTGAGCGTCATCTGATGAAGAAGCAAGTTTTCTAAATTGTCGAGTTGACTTACTGCGGTAGTTTTTAAAATATTTGTTATCTACCATGCATACGCACTTCCTATGTTTGAGCCAACAGCTGAGAGGGTTATAGACATAAAAATTTCAATGACAAAATGTAATTTAAGAACTGTGAATTTACAAAATATCTCCGTAAGAAGGAATGGCCAGTGACTTTAGCTATTTAATGCACGAGTATATGAAATGAATGTCAGCTGGGAAAAAGGGAGCTTTTTGCCGCGTTGTCAGTTTTAGCGCCATGGGATCTGTGTGTGCCGCGTGGCGAGTCTTGACAAAGTGCGGTCGCAGCGCAGCTACCGGGGACTTTGACCCTCCAGGTCTTTCCTGCTGCCCTCACTAAAGAGAACACATGCCCAGTGAGCCAAGCGTTGAGCGTGACCCATGTTTCAAAGACGTGGAGGCTTTAAATTGTTGTTATTGCACCACGAGAAGTCCCATCTCTTCCGCGTGCAGGCTCGAGAACGATTCTGACGATCCCCTGCCTCCCTCTCCCGTGTGGTCTCTGCCGTGTGATGACACTAACAACCCATCTCATGGCTCAGCCGTCCAGTTGTGTCCCCATGCGCCACCTCATCTGAAACCCGGGCAGGTTGAAAACTCGGTGAGAGCAGAGGTTGCCGCCTCTGCACTGACAATGTCCGATGGGCACGGATGCACGTGGGGCAGTGAGGTTGGCGCCTGGGACCACACGACCGGGGGAGTGGACGAGAGAAAACGTGGCAGGTGAGGTAGCCCCGTGTGTCTTCTCTTCCAGAATGCCACGGGTGTGACTGGGCCTGGGAGAGGGGCCCTGTGCACGCGCCTGTCACCTGTCACCCCTAAGGGGAGAGTGGGGGATGGGGCAGAGGAGGACTGCTTTGTGACGACCCGCCGTGGGCCAGGAAGGTGCTTCTAGCTCCTCGTCTGTTTTCTGTCTTAGTGACAATGGCAGTCGGGCATGGCTGCTGCCATATTGTAGACAAGGGAACAGGCTCAGAGGGTGGTGGCCAAGTCACCAATATGTGCTTTCAAAATAACCCTCATGTTGCTATACGTCGGTGACATTTACAGTAAAATTTCTATCGCGTCCTTTTGGGGTGTGTCCCTAATTTTTATCAGAAATCCAAATGGGGGATCTGGTTGCGTCCCTGGAAATGAGAGTGGCTCCTGTGCACGAAATGTGGGGACACACTGAAATCAAGGTTGGCGCGGCGCGGCCGTACCTGAGGATACTCTGTTCCAGGAGCTGGATCTGGTGCTGGTCTTGCTGGTTCTGCTGCTTCATCTCCTCCTGTTCCTTCCCACTGCTGACTCCGTCCAGAAGCCATTTCTCCCGCAAGGCCTTTTTCTGCGATCAGGAAACAGGAGGGAATTGGTCAGCGATCCCAGCATCTCTGACGGCTTTCAAGTGCATGTGTCTCGGCAGGCACAGCGAAGAGAAATTATTTTCTCTCCCTGCCTTGCCTGAATGCATTGGGCATTTTCCTTCTCCGTACCCTTCTTGACTCTCTTCATAAGCCCGTTTCAATGGCTCTAAATCCTGTTTCTCCTTCAAGTTCTTGTTCAGGCCCCTCCTTCTCTATACACCTGGGCCCTCTCCCTGCACCCTGCCCCCAGCCCGGGCCTCACCCCCTTCAGAGTCACACAGCCCCGTGTGCTCACAGGCACACGGTGCATGTTTACTGCATGTTCACGGAGCCAGGCAGGGACTCTCTCACTGGGGCTTTATGGTTATTTGTTTGGTTGATGGGTTATGTCTCATGACCTTAGAGTACAAAGTCTCTGAAGCCATTTTGATATTCATCCCAGTGACAGGACAGAGCTGCTGCTCCCCAAAAAGTCTCTTGAGGGGATATTCGGAACATTGGGCAAAACAAGGGATCGCTATTATATCTCAAACTAATTCAACGTTAGTCTCAGTCTGTGTGGTCAATATTTATCATCTTGCCTATTCATTATCACTGCTTTCTTCTCCTCTTTTTAGTCCTTACCCAAAGCTATGTTTTTATTGATTTTAGGGAGAGAGGTGGGGGTGGAGGAGAGAGAGAGAGAAATCAATGTGAGAGAGAAACAGCAATCAGTTGCCTCCTATAGGTGCCCCAACTGGGGACTGAACCTGCAAGCCAGATATGTCCCCTGACTGGGAATCGAACCTGCAGACTTTTGGTGCACAGGATGGTGTTCCAACCCACTGAGCTACCTGGCCAGGGTGCTCCTGCTTTGCTCTGAGAACTTCGCTGGTTCTTGACTCCTAAGTCCAGCCCTCCACTTTTCCCAATAATACAATGCACAACATTCACTGATCTGTAAATATTGGTGAGTTGAGTTTTTGTCAACTTAAACAAGAGAGAAAAGATTTATGTTCCATCATATGGAAAGAAAACTCCCTTGGATTTGCTTGAAAGACCCGCATTCCTGGACCTGAGCCTGAGAAGACTTAGAGCAAATGAGAGAGACTTGTGCGTTTCGGGGGAGTGGGGGTGGAGGCGGTGCTTAGCCAGCATCCTGTGTGTGTCTCAAGTAGAAATAGCTGGAAACTGTGTTCAAAGAGTGTGCACGTCTTGTTTGCTCCTGAGGGAAAGTGCCCTGGCTACCTAACACACTGTTGTAAATCATCTGCTCAATAATCATTCGTTGAGGGTTCACCGTGTCTCCAATGGTGAGAAGAATGGAAACTTTTCTTTATTTTCTGGAACTTCTTTCTCTTACACTATAAAGGAGATCAAGTAGGAAGAATTTTTGTTTCCTTTCAACAGATGCTAGAATTGATACTACTGGCATATGAATGTCTCTGAATTTAAAAAAAGGAAGTAAGGGTCATTGTGCTGGATAATCACCCAAGGATGGTTATTCTAAGGCAGTGGTTTTTCAAATTATTTCAACGTGTGACGAGGACTATAAATAAATGTTCTGTGACATTGTTAATCTGCAGAACAGAGGAAGCCCGGTGGGCTCTGGTGGAGGTGGGGAGGGGCCTGGAATTCAATGAGTGCCCCGGGCACAGCTCAGACACAGCCGGACTGAGCAGCAGCCTCGTCCCAGGGTGTCCTGTCACTGTTGGGCTTTCCGGGTTCAAGGGGGTGCACCTGGACAGCTGCTCTGCAGCTGGAGGGTCTTTATCCCAATGTCCTGGTCACCCAGTAAGTGGTGTTACCAAAGGTCAGGAGTTACCTCCTGAGGTCAGAGGTGCCAAGGAAATCTTAGTCTGGCAGCGTTTGAACAATTTCCCTGGACTTTCGTTTATTTCCGACGGGCTAGGGTGGTAGCTAATGCACAGGAAGAGGGACAGGCAATGCCGCTGAGAGGGAGCCCCAGCCCCTACACGCCTCCTGGGTGGGAGATCGGACTTCAGTTGACTTGCGTGGAAATAACTTGGTGAAGTTTGTTGGTGTTTTGTTGATTTTCTCGGGAGCGCACACTGCATTTCTTGGCCATGTCTACAACTTGCGTACATTCAGTGGGACACCGTGAAGACAGTGGGCCCCCCTGTGCTTTGAAATGATGCCTGTAAACACTGCCAGTTTGCAGAGGAGCAAAGGCACAAACAGAGGCAGAAAACTGAGGCCCACTGGAACCTCAGGGCTCTGTTCAGGGTGGCTCCTGGGTTGCAAGATGGGCTTAGCTGGGTCCAGCTGGTTCCAGCCCTGTTGGTGGCCCTACGAGCGCACGGCGTGATCTTACTGAGGGTTCGCTGCCTCTGTGGACGGCAGCCCTGGCCCGTGAGTGATTTCCTGCCATGGCCCAGTCACCCAGAGCCTGCTGGTCACGTGGTCACCCTCGTTGACTGAGCCACGTCAGAAACCAAGGAAATTCTATGTGCTTTCGTTACAAGATGACCACACCCACGGGAGAGGTGACGCCTGATGTTAGAATGGAGCTTTATTTTTGGTTATGATCTCATGTCTGTCAAAACAGAATAAAACAACACCCCCAAACATTGGATCCATAGCGTCGAGCTTTTAAATACCAGCCCCCTGGGCCAGGCCAGACAGTGTCTGTCCTGTGTCCCCTGGGGAAAGGATGGCCTTTCACTGATTTTTAAAAGGGACTTCCTGGCTGGATCCACCCCATGGTATGTTAAGCAAGACTGTTCTAGGCCAAACTGTCAAGGCCGAATTCTCAAGTTCATCCAAGAAAAGGAGGAAATCCAGGAATGAAGGGCAACAAGTTATAATACCATGTTTTCAGTTCCCTACACGTTCGCCCGAAGGTATTCAGGTCCTATGGAATCTTACTGGCTGGTCGGCCTGCCCCGTGGTTACTGGGGTGTTGGTAGAACTATGTTTAAGTTTCCTGTTGGAATCTGAGGGCCATCGGGATGTCCGAGTACGAAATCACTGACGTGAAATGAAAGACAATAGTTACCTTCAAGTGCTGGTGCTTTAGTTTTTCTTCCTCTATTTTCAGCCGCTTCTGTGAGATTTCTTCCTGTATTTTTCTTTTATCCTGAAATGAAAAAGTTCCAGCATAATCATTTTCCCCCCAATTTGCTTAACAGCATTTCCTTGGCATTGTTGTCATTAGCGAAAGGCTGGCCAGCGATAGGCTGTTCGCATTGGCAGGAAGCTGCTTTGGAAACTCCTGTTTCAAAGCAGAGGAGAGCAGAGTGAGCCATTCAAAGCCTTTTGCTGATGGAGAATGATACGGTGCTTTTTCAAAGAGAACTTAAAAATACCTTAATGCCTTTCCTTTCTTTCTCCACTTTTCTGTCTCCCCCATCAGCCTAGGAAGATTGAGCTACAGAGTAGAGATTGGTAGCTACAGAACAGTGGCAGGGACACAGGTCACAGCCGGGGGAGCCTGGCTGATGGGTTTGGGGTGACGGGCTCACAATGAGAGGGGCCAGGCGGGTGTCTGAAGCAGCTGGGACGGGAGGTGTGTGATCGGCCCCTGTGCTGTGCACCTGAAGCTAATGCAGAACGGTGTTCAGTGTGAACTGTCATTGAAAAAAATTTTAAAAATAGATTTTCATGAAAGGAAAAAAATTGAGCCACGGAGCGGTGCCATGGGAAGAGGGAACAGGAGGGAGGAGTCTCAACCGAGGCGTGAGGAAGGAAGCCCTGGGAGGGGAGAGACTCCTCCTGGCATGAGGATGAAGTGTTGTCAAAAAGTCTGTTTCTGCGGGAAAACAGGACGGGCTCCGAAAGCTGGAACGGGGACTCCGACCTCCTTGGGGAACTTGCTGTGGGATGACAGTGGAGAAAGAGGGGGCCGGGGAAGGCTTGTCCACACTCAGAGGGCTTTTCCCTGCGGTTAAAAAATATCATGGGGATATACAGTATCCTTCACCAGGTTTACATTGCCTTACCTCCCAAACCCAGAAAGCACAGCTGTTAATGCACACAGGTTGTACTTCTTAGAAAAAAACAGCAGGTATGCTAAACAGCCCGGGCTCAAACCCTGCCCTCGGCATCTACCCGCTTTGTGTCTTTGGACAAGACTCTTCAGGTCTCTGTGCCTTAATCACCCCATCTACAAACTGCGGGCAGTGAAACCATCTGCCTCGCGAGAGATGAGCATTAAGTGAGCTAATGCATACGGGAGTTCCTAGAACAGTGCTTATGCACAGTGTTCTAGAAGTATTTGTTTAATGATATTAACTAAATTAAACACACAACCTGTTAGTCACACAGAAGGCAACACGCTAATTCTCACAATGCTTCCACTGGTCTGAAATGTTTTAGAGATTCCCTCCCTGGAATTATTTGAGACAGTTTACAAGCTATGCAAAAAGGCCTTTGCTTCCTTAAAAAAAAATCAGAGAGGATAGTATCCTCCCTCTTATTTTTAAGAGTTGGTTTTCAATCTGCTTTCAAAATTAAGAACTCCCAAAGTATAGACATTGGTGGCCAATGAAGACATCTAAAGGAATTAGAAGCAAGCTCAGTGGGTAATTTAGAAGGAAGACTTCCAAAAATATTTGGCCGCCTCACTGAAATAAGCGCACGGCTTCCTGATTTGACTCCTTTGAAGATAAAGGAGTCAAGCTCCTCTTTGATGTGTGAGCCCAGGTACGTTTGTTGAAGGAATACAACAGGTTGCTCTCCGGCTCCTTGTCATGCCCGTCTTGGGTGGAAGAAGGATAGGGGACCTCCACAAGTGTTCTTTTACCCTCCCTAAGCCACTCTTTTGGGGGGAAAAAGAGGCTAGGCAGCAAGCATGGGCTAGTTCTTTTCCTTGCATAAAATCTGCTCATTAGGAATAAAAACTCTGACAACTCCTGAGTCAGTGTTCCATTCCAACTAGAGGCTGTTATTGAGCAAATATTAGTAATATTTTAAATGGATCGTGACAAACATTTCGGTGAGTTTTTATAGGTACTCTTTCGGTTCATAATTGTAATTACAATGAGACGTTGCAATAATTTTTATTTCACAGGAGAGGGAAAGCAAGTTCAGGGAGTGAAATAACTAATCCAAGCTCTTACAACAGATAAATGGCAGAATTGGTTTCTTTGGGTTTTTTTTTGCCTATATAGAAATTTTATTCTAAGTTAGGAGTTCAGACTTACGGTTCATTTCTCCTTTAGAAACTAAGTTTAAGTGGTGATTACTACATCAACACATGAAATCCTGTTTTGTAAACTATAATAATTGTTTTTACTTGTTTATATTGGGTTTTTATTGATTAATTCTTTTCCCTAAGAACAAAAGCTCCCAAATTCTTTTTTTCTGAAGGCAAGATAATAAGGAAATCAAAACCCACCAAAAATTGGGACTCTCCCCCAAAACAAGTAAACAATAGGCCATTCTCTCTCAAGAATATTTAGGGGGAAAAAGGCTAAATAAAATATTAGAAACAGAATCCAGAGTATATCAGAAGAAATGTGTACTTTGTCCAAGTGTAGGGTTTTTTCAGTATTGCAAGGATGGTTCAGTATTAGAAAGATACAGTTATAGGCACATACTTCATCTCCTTGGCAGATCTAAAGGGAAAACTCACATACATTTGCCAAAATTCACCATTTGTTTAAAAATGTTTAAAGCTTTTATTATTTTTTCTCCTCTCTCCCCCTAATTTTTTAAATAAAATAAATGAAATGAGAACTCCCTAACTTGATAGAGTATATTAATCTCAGCTCGAAAGTAAATAGCTTGCCTAGTTTAGAAAGGGTGTCTGCTAACTCCTCTATTATTAGCATTTTAAATATTAAACTGAATTAACTTCCAGTAGTAGCCAATAAAGTTGGATCAAAAAGATAAAGAAAATTGGAGAAACAATTAGTGCAGTCCCATATTAATTTACAGAGCTGAATATAAAAATCATAATTAGAAGATAAAAGGGAAGAAAGAGCCCCATTTAGAGTAGAAACTAAAATACCTCAGAGTGAACTTAACATAAAATATCAACAAGAAAATTGTAAAAGATTCCCAAGGGACACAACAAACCTGAATTAATACAACTCATACCGCGTTACTGAATAGGATGACGTCATAAAGACATCTTTAATGTCAGCTCCCCTCGTTGTCCCCCATGACTTGTTTATTCTCCGTGAATTTTGTGTGGCCCCAATAAACACACCCTGGTGTGTTGTGGCAGCTGTCCTGGGGGAGGATATTTAGCAGCGCCCCTGGCTGCTACCTCCTGGGTGCCAGAAGGACGGTGACCATCAAAAATATCTCGTCGTTCTTCCTGTCTGCTGCAAACTCAGTCTTGGTGGAGTACCACTGATACAGGCCCATCTCCAATACCCACTGACTAGTGAAATCCATCACGTCTTGGTGCCTGAGGCAAAGAAATAGGCATCTTCACTGGTAGTGAAAACAGGCTTTAACTATTCAACGTGCTGATGTACCAGTAAGAGCACATGGGTGACTCGCTCCCTCGGCCTGTGGCTTACCAGCGGAAGACTGGTTTGTGAGAGGGTCATTAGCCCCAAACCAGAATGACAACCGATGGGGCTGTTGCAGATAGGGTGTGGGCGTCGGAATAAAGTGCATTGTAAGCAATCCATACCCAGGAATGTCAGACCATCCGATCTGATGCCACTGACACCTTAAGAAATATGTTGGGGAATCTATGAAATCATTCTATCCTGAAAAATGACCAAGAAGAAAATGACGCCATAGGAATTTTTCTGTTTTCAAAGTCATATGCTACTTGGGGATCATTCCTTAAGGAATTAGTGGGGGAAAAAAAGGAAGGAAGAAAGATAAAAGAAAAAGAAAGAATAAATAAATCAGTGAGTGGAGTGTTAGGGATCTCGAGCCCCAGTGCCCGCCGGCTGGCCACGCCCCTGCGTCCCAAGACGGTGAGCCTGTCCCTGGCCTGAGAAACCTGCTTTTCCCTCCTGTGGGTCCGTGTAGTGTCCTCACCATTCAGCTGCCCCCCTCGGATCTGGAAGGACTCTGTCGCCCACCCTTGGGTTGGACCGACAGCAGGCTTCCACCCTCTGTCCACCTCCCAGTCCAGCACTCGGGCGGCCGGACAGCCGCCTCCTGTGTGAGCTTTGGAGGGGAGTTTTCACGAGAAGAGATTGATTCACTCCACCTTGAAGCAACCTTCAAACATAAGCACTAGAACCAGGTCTCCAGAGCCTCTGGATGCTTTGTTTTTGAACTTGGATATTTCCAACTGCTATGGAAACCGTGCTTCACTCCACACCAACATTACCAGCAGAAATGAAAGGGGAGGAATGACATTAGTGTTCAGAGACAACACAATCTATCCATGGACGGACGAAGGCTGAAAATTACGTGAGAGTCCACATTAAAGCAACGTTGTCCATGCTAAACCGTAACGTCCTGGATGAATCTCACCACTTCCTTAAGGGCAAAATCGCAAACGGTGACCATTCTAGAAGAATGAGGAGACACGGATCCCCTTTACTAGTAGAAGTAAATCCTTTGTTTTTCCTTAAAAGAGCATTCAAGTGTATTATGTTCATATTTATAATGAAAGAAAGTGCCATTCTGTCAACTTTCTACCTCGTCGAACCTGGTAGAAATGATTATAGTTGCTCCCTTTAAATGTCAAGTGTGTAAGTCCAGGCCCCTCAGGCCCTGATGCCAGAGCTGAGGGCCGGGGGCCTGAAGTGGGAAGCGGGGAGTCCCCAGCCTCAGAGAGCTTCCCCGTGTGCATGACGCTGGCCTGACTGGTGCAGGGTCCCGTGCACAGAGGGTCCCCGAATGCCAGCACCCCATGTTCTGTCCTTGAGCTCTGATGCTAACTGTCAGCCTAGCGCTACCCGCCATGAATCTTCAAACTTCTGGGAACCAAGTTGCCCTTGGACGACCCAATCCTGGAGCACCACGACCACGGGCAGCTACCTGAGCAGACATCTGCGCAGGTACCGAAGCACATCCCCTGCACCCTGAGACCCTCCGCCCCAGCACACTGGGGCTCCCACGTCCAGGCCCGCCCTTTGCCCATGGGGCACAGAACAGTGCCGAGTTCCCTGTGCTCACCCAAGCGCTGTGTCTGGACTCAACCCACCGAATGGCCGG